GTGTGTGTGGATATATTTATTCACGTGTGTGTGTATTTTGTATTTTGTTCTTTCCATACATGTCATGTTTTGTAATTTTGAATGAATTGTCTACTTCAAAGATATGTTATGTATTCAAAGATATATTTTGTCTACTTCAATGAATTGTCTACTTCACGTGTGTGTGTGTGTTTTGTAATTTTTGAATGAATTGGTGGTGGCATTCTCTTTCCTACTGAATGAAGTAGCTCCTAGACCTCATAATAGTGGTCACCACACAATAGAGTCCTGCTACACCTCACAGTTTGAACAACATTTGAGGGCTGTTGTGGGTCTTCCACTTGGTGATCCATCAATGAAAACTCCTGCTGCAATCATGTATAATTTACTTGGTGAAGATGAGGGAGATCGAGGTTTCCTTTTAGCTCATCAACTTATTGGACGGGCATTAGGTATTCCTGGGGCTACTGTTCATTGGTATGATAAGCCAGGTAAGTTACTGCTCATCTTATGTTTTTTGATGTCTAGCCGCATCTTTCTAATTCATACTCAATGCTTTCCTTTGTCATCATAATTATATGGCAGAAATGCAAAAGCAACGAAAGATGGGTCATATCACCATTGTCGGTCCTTCTATGAGTGATGTGGAGAAACCATTGGATTCAATGCTGAGCACAGAAAGATTTGATAGTCAGTCTGCAGGTTAGTTTTGTTGGGGGCTGTGTAATTTACCATGATGTCTTGAAAGTGAAGCTGCTTGGAGGTGCTCACACTTTTCCTTTGTTATGCCCGGTGCAAATTTCTTGAAAAGTGTGACTTTGAAATTGTATTGAGCTTAACAATCTTTTAGCAATTTGTATTGGGCTTAGATGTGACCTTGAAATTGTAATTACGAAACAGTTATTTGCATTCATTTTGTTTCTTATTTGCTAAATGTAGTGACACCACGTGTTGGGATCATAATGGGCTCGGATTCAGATCTCCCTGTGATGAAGGAAGCTGCCTTTACTTTGAGTATGTTTGACGTGCCTCATGAGGTTAGCTCCCTTTTTTTTCCAACTTACAGTTTAACTTGGGGATCATCTGCTGTCATACCTTATGCGTTTTAAACTCTACATAAGATTCCTTTTATTATAAATTTCAGGTGCGAATAGTTTCAGCACACCGGACTCCTGAGTTGATGTTTTATTATGCCTCATCTGCTCGGGATCGAGGTATTCAGGTCATCATTGCTGGTGCCGGTGGTGCAGCCCATCTACCAGGCTAGTTACATAAACACTCTGCTCCATATGCATTTTGACCTTTTTTTTTTGTTTTTTTGTTTTTGTTTTTGTTTTTTTCATTTTAACATTATTTCAGTTCTGGATGTGAATTTTAGGTATGGTAGCTGCACTTACTCCTTTGCCAGTAATTGGTGTTCCTGTACGTGCTTCTACATTGGACAGAATCGATTCACTCCTATCAATTGTGCAGGTAAACATTGCACAAATCCAGTTGCCTGCATCTTATTGCCTAGAAGCAGCACATTCCCATTTACTAGAATGTTTTATTATCCCTCTTCTCTATCTTTTCTTGTCCGTGAAATGGATATTTGTGTGCCATATTTTGCCAAATCATGACTACATGACAGTAGTGTCTGATTTTGTAGTCTCTGTATCAATGTGACGCTTTTCAATGTCTCTGGTGTTTCCAGCAAAATAGCTTAAATGTCTTGCATTAATTCTGCAGATGCCATGGGGCATCCCAGGTGCAACAGCTGCTGTAAACAATGCCACAAACGCAGGTTTGCTGGCTGTAAGGATGTTGGGTGTCGGTGACAGCCATCTAGTAGCAAGGTTAGATTCTCCATTTGGTTAAACAAAACATATTTTTTTTTAGAGCAATGAAAAGTCATTATATTGATTGCTTATGTTATTGATGCGGCGATAAACTTTGTGCAGAATGAGTCAATACCAAGAAGACACGAGGAGCGATGTCTTGTTAAAGGCAGATAAGCTAGAAAAAGATGGCTGGGAATCTTATTTAAATCCTTGAGAACCATATAATTTCTTTTGGTGATATGTATTCATTTTTGTCATTCAACAAATTATATTATGGCCAACCTGATCAAAGGTTTTAGAGAAAACCCCATTGCCAGACAAGTTCAGCAAGTGAATAAAGACTCGGACATTAAACAAAAAATATTAGAACGAGAAGTAGAAAAAGGAGAAAGGATATGTGCAAATAGGTGAGCAAAGGGAATCATCAAGATTGTTAGCGTTAAAAATATTTGCAGTTTGACAGTTTGAGTGATGATGCAGGGATGTAACTATTTTTCTTTCCTATGTATTTCTTTATTCAACTGTCATCTTATCATTCATAAAGGGACTAGGACAAACTTGTTTGGAGACATTTTGCAATTTTTTTTTTTTAAATGATAAGAAGCTTGTATTTTCTTTATTTTCTTACTTCCTAGTCTTGAGAAGTAAAACGTCAATTTTCCATCAAAAAGATGAAAATAACTTATATAATGACTTAGTTTAGTAATGCTGTGGATTTTAAAAAAAGTGCTTGCAGAAATTTCTTACAGATTTTTAAAAAGAACCCCACTAAAATTGATAATTATGATATTTGGTTGTGTTAATAAAATTGACAATTTATCATTATGTTATTTTTAGTTGTAATTTTATTGTGAATAAAGAAATAAAAAAAAGAGAATTAATTATCATAAATTTATTGTTAAAAAATTTAAAATCATAACATTATGTTTTTTTTTAAAGTTAAACAACTATTTTTAAATATCAAAAACAATTATATATATAAAAATTACATATCATGTCTATTTTGGTCATTTTACATACCCACAGCAATTCCACCTCAAAATTTACCAAACGCTATTTACTGATTTTAGAACCAGCACAGCTACTATAATTACAATTTACCAAACACTTAGCCGCTTCTTAAAACAGCTGTTTTTTTTTTCAGCACAGTTAAAAGCACTTTTTTTAAAATCTACAGCATTACCAAACTAAGCCTATGTTCAGGTTCTTGCAAAAAATCAAGGACAAAAACATAAAAATCACTAGTTACTGTCTCATGAAATTAGAGGCTTCGCTAACTCAAGTTTTACTAAAATATTTTCTTAATTTAAATTGAACTTTTTTTACTCTCTCATATAAATTTATTTTTTCACTCAAATTTTCAACTTGAACGAGTGAAATAAACGGTACCTATTTTTGAGTTGTTGAATCGTTTTTATTGCTGATTTTAGACACAAGTTGATTATTTTACTTTAAAATATAACATTTCAACACGAAGAGGATATCTTTTATACATATATAAAAGAATTTAAATTTTAGAACTCATCCTAAATGCATATTTTTGCCCCATTTTATGAGAATTTTGATTATGTGAATATTCCTTTTTTTATAATATGTAAGTATTGTTTTTTTGATACATAGATTAAATTTTCAACAACCTGATCTATCAAATGGGAGCAATTATGCATCTAACAATTATATTTTTATTGTAGATGCTCATGAATAAAGACCTTAAAATCAATCTAAAAACAACAGTTTCCACACGCAGACAAAGGACAATTCCAACACTGAAAATTCCCTTAGTTTATTTGTTTTTTCTCTTGAGCAAATTTCAAGTTTAATTATTATTATTTTTAATTTTTTTATTTATATCGTTACATAAAATTTTAATGTTATTATAAAAAATAATATACGGGTTATAAAAATAATTTATAGATTATGTTCGTAATCTGTAAATTATTAGTGGTATATAAAATTTTAAAACAATAAAAAAAATAAAGTAGTGTTATCTTTTTTATGGTTTTTTTTGTTGTTGAAAATTTCTCTATTTTCTTCCCCATCTTCTTCTCGCAAATATGTCTCACATTCAGAGCGAAAGAGAAAAGGAAAACCAAATAACAGTGACGTGGTAGGATGAAGACCGTCAGATGCAATAATTTCAAATTTCTAGGGCCACGATCCCGTTACCAAAACACGCGAATTCGGCCTCAGCTCAACGAACTTCTTCTCCCTCCGTTTCCCGCCCACTATAAGTACCAAACTCATTTCTCTCTTCACATCACACACATTGACGCGCCAATTCGAATTCAGTTCCAGAGATTTCTTTCGCTTCGAAGAAGATGATCGCCTCTCTCAAGTAAGCCTCCGATCTCAGAACTCTTTCTCTTCCTCCCAGTTGCGCTCTTATCATGCCGTTCATCGGAAACCTAATCCGATCCTGGTATTGGTGCTCAGAGCCGAAGAGCAGAACATGCAGCTCGTTGAACGAGAAGACATTGACGACGAAGTGGATCTGTTTGAAGCGATCGACAAGCGTACGCTTCGTTTTCTCTAGTTAGATTGATCGACAAGAGTAATTTTTGCAGTTTCACTAGCTTCTGTGGTTTGCACTTTGATTTTCTTTCCATTTCAACTGCTTGATTTTGTATTCCGTCTATTTTGGACGAAATTCTGTTCGGTAGCTAGTGCGATCTTGTGATTTCTCAATTTCTGCAGTGAGCTTAGTTTTCTTCAGTTTTTTCACCTCGATTCTGCTTCTTCTTTTTTTTTTTTTTTTGGCTGAAGATTCACGTCGATGATCTGAATCTGATCCGATTTAACTCTGTTTTCATAGATTTCGAACTCGATCTCGCTTATACGTAATCATCTGATCCGATTTAACTCTGCTTTCATAGATTTTGAACTCGACCTCGTTTTTCTTCAGTTTTCTGATCCGATTTAACTCTGTTTTCATAGATTTTGAACTCGATCTCGTTTTTCTTCAGTTTAGAAGTTGATTTACTAAATCGGCTAACAAAGTGGATTTCTATTCGCAACTTGTGTTTTGCGCAGTGATTGCTCAGGGAATCAATGCCGGAGACGTGAAGAAGCTTCAAGATGCAGGGATCTACACCTGCAATGGTTTGATGATGCACACTAAGAAGGTATTATTACTTTTGGATAAAATCATTCGAGTTTTTTGAAACATTTTGGTGCGTTTCTGATATTTTGCTTTCAATATTGCAGAATTTGACGGGAATAAAAGGTCTATCTGAGGCTAAAGTGGACAAGATATGCGAAGCTGCGGAGAAGATAGTGGTTAGTGCAATTTTTCTTTTATTTTTGGAGGTTCACATGATTATACTTCAGATCTGGAATAATGCAAATCTTTTTTTTTTCTTTTTAATTTTTCAGAATTTCGGTTATATCACTGGAAGTGACGCTCTGCTCAGAGTAAGTTCAGTTTACTTTTTTCACATCTTTGAATAAATTTTTTAGACTAGATAACCAAAGGCCTAATCGTTGGATGACTTGTGCGCTTCATATCTCTCATTCTTAACTGCCTAATGTTTTTTATCCAAGTAGCACAGCTTCATTAACATATATCAAAAGCTGCAGGTTAAATTATGCTGCACCAACAATCTAATAATTTTTATCGTTTTATTTATTTATTTATTTTTGTGCTTATAGAGAAAGTCAGTGGTTCGTATTACAACCGGAAGCCAAGCCCTTGATGAACTGCTAGGCGGTAATCTTTGCTCTGTCATTTGTTCAATCATTGTTAATAAGTATGCTCTTAACGAATTTGAGTTTCTCTTTGGAAAAAGGAAAGTTACATGATAGTTTTGTTTAACATTGTGAAAAGGCGGGATTGAAACGCTGGCAATAACTGAAGCCTTCGGCGAATTCCGGTGAGAACTGTGAAGTTCTTTCATATATGAGTTACTGTTTGTCGTTTTACACAAACACTGATAGTTTTGGTTTGGATCTCTTACGTTGGTTCAGGTCTGGGAAAACACAGCTTGCACATACTCTGTGTGTTTCAACACAGGTTCCTCCCTCTCCCTATGAAATCATTTCGCCGCTGATACTAGCTTTTGTGGTCCTTTATTCACTAGCCTAACCGCTGTAGCAATAACAAAACCAATTACTGTTTGCTTTCTCTTACTTGACTTAAAATTTTAGTTTGTCTTGCATTTTTTATTTAACTTGGATCTACTTTGTGTTTAAACCATTTGCTTCATTCTGTCCTGGTTGTTTTAAATGGAAACAGCTGAAATCTTGAAAAATAACACTCGGTGTCTGTTTCCTATATTAAAATCATTAAATTGATCACAGTGATTGATGTACTGCTGTAGTAAAAATTATAACTGATGTTGGATGCTGAAACATCACAAATTAAATTGAAGCCTCGCTGATTGTATTTGCCTATCATCTATGCAGCTTCCTACCCACATGCATGGAGGGAATGGAAAGGTTGCCTACATTGATACTGAAGGAACTTTGTATCCTTAAGATTTCCTTTCAAGTTAAAATTTCAAGTTGCACATAATGGTTCCTCTTCAGTGACATTATCTTCATGCAAAGCTTTTCATCTTAACTGTATGCAACTTCAGCCGACCTGATAGGATTATCCCGATAGCTGAAAGATTTGGAATGGACCCAGGAGCTGTCCTTGATAATGTAAGTCTCAGTTTCAATATGTCATTCATCAATCATCTGTAACTAGCAGTGCAGGATCCGAAACTGATCGTGTACTTCTTTTGTGACAAAGATCATCTATGCTCGTGCATACACATACGAGCATCAGTATAACCTGCTCGTTGGTCTGGCTGCTAAAATGTCTGAAGAACCATTCAGGCTTCTGGTAAGACTTTACTGACTGAACTATGGCCTGATGTAAAATGACTCTGCTTGGAATGCTAAAAAGTTTGTATATGTCCATGCTTTCAGATTGTCGATTCAGTTATTGCTCTGTTTAGAGTGGATTTCACTGGAAGAGGAGAACTTGCAGATCGCCAGGTCAACCCCAAACCTTTGGTCTAATTCCTATAATTGGCACTTGTGGTCTTCAATTGTATGTGATATTTTTCCTTCCTGACATAAACCCTTGGGATTGCAGCAAAAACTGGCTCAGATGCTGTCCCGATTAACAAAGATCGCTGAGGAGTATAATGTTGCAGTATACATGACCAACCAAGGTTCGCTTTTTTCCTTTTGTTTTCTTCCCTAGTTTGCGTTCTTCTGGTGCTAATAAACCAGGGTAATCATTAACCAATTGGGGGGATCATTTTCAGTCTAATTTTATTTTCTTGTCTAGTGCCATAGATAACTCTACTTGACGTAGGACTTGCGGGAGAAAGGGAAGAGTGAAGAGAAAAAGAAAGGGAATTGAGAATAGAAAGAGGGGGAATTTAGAGAGAATGAGAGGAAGATAGAAGGGGAATTAGGGATTTAAGAAAGAATTGAGAAAGAACTTGAGAGGCAAGAGGAATAAAGAAGGATATGAGAGGGAGAAACAATCTGATAACTCAATTCAATATCATTCATAATCTGCCTTGTCTATAACATGTAGTCAATTTATAGGCTAATTACAAAAGTAAAATAGGAAACTAAAAAAACAAAATTAAATGCATACAATCATGAAACTTTCCCAAAATCAAATAAGAATCAATCCGAATTTATTTGTTTTTATCTCTGCCTAAAATAGGTTTGGAGATTTGACTTACATCACTACATGAAGGCATCGATCAGATCTAAATATTTGATTCTTCCCTAGCAGCCCGTATTAATACTTTGATGCATACTATTTGTTGCAACTTGCAGTTATAGCTGACCCAGGTGGAGGAGTTTTCATATCAGACCCAAAGAAGCCTGCGGGAGGTCACGTTCTTGCCCATGCTGCCACAATAAGGCTGATGTTCAGGAAAGGAAAAGGTGAACAACGTGTCTGCAAGGTTTTTGACGCTCCAAACCTTCCTGAGGCTGAAGCAATATCCTTTTCTACGCATGTTATTATTTCCCTTGGTTATTTTCTATTCCACGCACCATCTTAATTAAGATTAGCTCAATTAATATCTCCACGGAAAACAGTAAAAAGGGGGAAAAAAAAAAGAGAGAGAGAAAAGAAAAGAAAAGAAAAATTACTGTTTTATCCATATGAAATCACTGCTGTACAAGGATTTTTCTTGACAAGTATATACATATTTCAGATAACACCAGGCGGCATTGCAGACGCAAAGGATTGAAGTCAGAATCTCTTTTTGCTCCTTGTGGACATATAAGATAAAAATAGCGACTTTCATTTTTATGTCTACTGCAAGTTGGATATAAGTTGTATGTCAGATGTTTTTAGGTTTGAACCTTACTTTACTAGCATAGATGGGCTCCCTTTATTCTGGCATATGATGTGGTATATTTAGAAACAATCAGTACCCTAAAGCAATCACCAACTCTTCTTAAACTAGTTTTGGGTACCAAAAAGCAAGTTCTCGTTTCAGGTCTTAATCCATCTGCTTCACTTAACATCTTTGTCTGTTTTTGTTTTTGTTTTTGTTTTTTTCTTCCTTAATTATTAAAATATATAATTTAAACACTCAGGAATAACGTGACATAAAGGCAATAGGGACATACAAGACAAACATGTGAATATATATACAAATACACACACACGTGTGTGTGTGTGTGTGTGCAATTTGAACGCTCAGGAATAATGTGAAACAAGAAGTGCACCACATTCAGAATCAAGCCTTTACGCAAGGCCGTATTATTATATTTTGCATGCCAGAAAGTCCTCTAGTCCTGTTTGAGATTTTCAGAGTACTCAACATAGATGCGGACCATGTGGTCAAGTCTTGGTTTCAGGTGTTAAAAGGGGAGGGGGAAAAAAAAAAAGAGAAAGAAAAAGTAAACTATCCTTTAAAAACAGTAGAGTCATCGAGCAAACCCTAGTGAAGAAAAAATATGGGTGAACAGCGAAGCAAGGTCCAAGAATAACGAAGACCTTGCCACACAGGAAGCAGTATCAGCTCAGAAGTTTGAAGACCAGTTGGCTGCACTTCCAACTCTCGGTATGCCACTGCTTTCCTTGCGAGAGCCTTCATCCACCTTGAAATTTGCGCCACACACTTCTCCTGAACTGTCCACCCTCGGCACCGGCTTCAATTGGTTAAGAGGGTGCTCAAAACTCCTCAGGCCTCCATTAGTTGTGAAGAAGCAGCCTGAGATAGAGAACAGAAACAGAGAGATCAGCTACCTAGTCCTTATGTTGATGAACAAGTATAAGGAACAGAAACAGTTAATTCAATGACCTTTAGGAAATGGCGCAAAAGATTTGGCGCAGCCTGTCTTCAGAATTTCAGCATTGTCTGAAAGAACAACGTTGCCTTCAGAGTCGGTTCCCCAGAAGAATGGAACACTTCCATCAGCATCCTAAATAATTAAGGAACAATGTTAGGCTAGATTAAGGAAGCCAGGAGATAAACCTAAAGATAGCGACTGAGCAAGACCAATTTGAATGGAGAGACCAATAACACTGAAGCAACAGATACTAAGGTAGGTTGGTTTTACTCACAGCAGCAAAAAAGGTGGCTTTAGAAGCGCCATCGAAGACAATAAATGCAAACTTCCCTTGGATGTCCCTTACAACCTGATCAGGGGAAAAAGGACCTCGATCCCTTAGAGTTCTGTAAGCTTCCATAACAATGCTTGCCTCGTTTGCTGTTTTGTTCAACCCGTATTGTTGCTTAAGAGCAGCAACATTCTCAATGTGGCCATTGAACAAGCAGAAAATGTCATCCACAACCGCAAACAGCCTGACAACATAAGAGGAGAAGATGATAACTTGGATTGATGTACCGGTATGAGAAACACAGATTAATAGAATATTTCCTCAATAAAACTTTAATGTTTCAGGAAACTAATAACAGCTGAAGTCTGAAATTCTTTTTCCCCCCTTCCATTTCTAACATGCGAGTTTCAACTATTTAACAACAGGCATCATTCATCTAACTTTGAACCAAAAAAAAAAAACATCATGGTGCTAAACCAAAAAACTTAAATATCTTATAATTCAGAATAGAGAAAGAAAAAAAAAAATACCTATAGAAGAATTGTATCTAAATCAGCAAAAGTGGAACGCTATTAAAATAGCATTTCAGTAAATGGACATTAAACACCAAAGATGTTTGCCTATTTATATTAAAATGACTAGAAGATGAAGAATAATTGCAAACAAATAGAATATTTCCTTGGCTCATAACAAAGTTATAGAAAGAATCATGCCTTTTGTCTTGTATCAGAACCATCTAACGACACAATATATTAATTAGTGAGAACTAAAAAACAATAAAATCTCCACAGTCCGCCATATTCACATGGTTAAGAACATTAAATCAAGAGTCTATAATCGCTTAAAATAGTAAATAAAAAAACTGGAAATAAAAAATTCTAAAAAAAAGTTTGGTAGTAAGGAAAGGAAAATAGAAATCGGGTAAAATAATAAAATAATTACACGTCAATCTCTAATGATTCCAGAAAATTAAAACCTCAACAAACAGCAAAAAAGAGAAAAAAAAAAAAAAAAGATGCCGATCTCTAATGATTCTTGTTTCTTCCCCAAAAGTTCTCAAGAAACAAACACACCAAATACAAACAATCATCTAACTCATCAATATTAAACTCAATAGACCAAGATCAAGAACTCTTACTAAATTAGTATAAAACAAAACCTACCCCACAAAATAAACAAAAAACAACCCAAATCTTATCAATCAAGATCAGTCCAACCAAAAACCAAAGAAACAAAACCCAACAAAGAAATGAACATCGTTTTTTTTTTTTCTTTTTTTTTCTTTTTTGCAATTTCCTTTTCTGGATCTTGTCCCATTAGGTCGTAATGTACCTGGGAAGAAGAGGGTTCTGTTTTTCGAGCGAGTACGCCACGAAACCCGAGGAACCGAGGTTGACGACGACGGAAGAAGGATGAAGAGAGGAGAAATGGCGAGCCAAGGAATCATCTTTCAGAGCCGAAACAGATTCCGAAGAGTGAGGGCTTTGCAGACCATCGGGGCTCTGAGCCACGGATTTGTCGAATACGGCGAGCATTTTTCTTTCGGGTCGTCGATCGGGATCTCAAGAACGCAGAAAACGACGGTCGTTTTATGCCGAGATTGAGGAAATGTGGACAAATGGTTGTTGACGGTGGTGATGCTGGAACAGTTTATGATACAATTTATATACAAGGCGTAGAACTGTTCTTTTCAGCACCAATGGGACGAATTTTTTATTCCGATTTTACCCCTGGTTCTTACACGAACTTTCGTCGACTAGTTGGCACCTGGCGTCTTATACGTAATATCCCGACCGCCCTTCATTATTATTCTATTATTTTTTCACTTTCGAAGCAATATCTTCTTTTTAATATTTTTATTCCCTTTTTAATATATATTTTTAAAGATTTTAAGATAAGATTCTCAAAAAAAAAAAAAAAAAAAGGATAAAAGGGTGAGTTAGACACGACACACACGTAGCACAATATTGAAACATGTCTTCAAAATTTAGAATACTTTTATAAATAACAAAAATTAAAATTAGTAGGCTATGTACTCAAAAAAATTAAAATTACAATTATCAGGGTAATTAGTAATAACCATATAATCTCGTAACATAAAACGTGAAAATCACTATAATCATTATTATGTAATTTTGTTCTTCCTAAAATATTCCATTTTTTTTTTATATATTTTAATTCCACCCTTATGATCAATGTCCTGGAGTGAGTAGCCAAAAAAAAAAAAAAAAACAAACTCAATGTCATGCAGTGTAATTGTTTTTCCATGGAAGCTTTGTGCACATAAGCTTGGGGCTCTACAAGCTTCCAATGATATGATTATGTTTTAGAAGTGTTATTTTCTGTTCCAACTCCTAAACGAGTTTCATTTGTAGTCATTAGTAACTCTTCAATGCCATCAAGTCCTTAAATTTTCTTAAAAACTTAAAATTACATGTGGACATATGCGTCTGCTCGCCATTTCAAGCCAAGGAGAGAGAGAGAGAGAGAGAGAGAGAGAGAGAGAGAGAGAGAGAGAGAGAAGCATTCATTTGTCATATTATATGAATCGGGTACATGAATACAATATCCAATATCATGTGCTATGTTTTGATGATGTATGATACGTACGATATAAAAAAAGTTAAAAAATAACCTTTTATCTGGGCTAGAATTGAATAAGGTTATTGCATGTGCAGAAGTTTGTTGCATTTATATTGGCTTCCACTTTTAAATGGACCTTCATAATAAGCACAAAATCAACAGATTCATAAAAGCTTCAAGCTGATATTTTATCTGTTGTGTTTAGAAGTCAAGCAACTCCGTTACTGTTAAGTCGATAAATGTTCGGAAAATCTAGATATAGTTAGGAATGAAGAAATAAATATAGCAAATCATCTCTGGTAATTCGAGACATAATAATCCGAAAACACCTAAAAGGCTCTTCCTTATGCTCAAGAAAAGAGTTTAAACACGGTTGTATGCAACTGACTTGCTGAAGAGACGACGGATGTATATAACCTGTAGAGCACTAACAGCAGCCAGCAAAAAATATTCCCCAACTGTGTAGAAAATCACACGCTTCCTTGTGCTCTCATTTGCTGCAGCAGAGGGAAAAAAAAGAAAAAGAAAAAGAAAAAGAAAGAAAGTGAGAAATGCTTCCCAATGATGATCTGACATATGAGAATTAGCCTTTTACTGAGAGACAAAGGCACTAATGATATGGGAAATTCACTAAATAATGATTTTCTATCCTTAAAATTCTGGAAAGTGTGTAAAATGTTAAATCAGCAAAGAGTGCGAAAATCTGCTCAAAGATCAGGGGACAAGTTGCGATGCTTTCATGTTATTGCAAGCAAGTGGGACATGCTATAATGCAACGTCATGGATGAGCCTGCTTGTGAAGTTTTCGTGCTACAAGTTTAACAAGCAGTGAAACCTGAATACCTACTAGGATCTCGAACCACATTCAATGTTTTAAGCTTTACAATCCCTACGGGGTAAATAGGGCTCATCCTATGTTGGATCAAATCCCAATCAGACACGGCAAAGGCTCAAATAGTGTACTGCTAGAAGATACCAACTTGGATCTCGAGCTGCATTCAACGATTTAAGTTTGACAATCCCAACTGGCTACATAGGGCACATCCTGTGCTGGATCAAATGCTGAGCAGACATGGCAAAGGCTCAGATATTGTAAAGCTAGAAGATATTTTGCTGGCATCTCCAAAAGATAGGGACAGAAGGGTAAGAAAGGAGTGAAAAAATTCAACAGTTGTTTTAAAGAGGTGCTGACACTGAGCTGTATAAAAGGACTAAAACCTTTTGCACGAGATCCAATAGTTGCCAAATCAAAGAAATTACATAAACAGAAGTCCTACTGAAGCACTTTTAGACGATCAAACTCCAATTGCAAAACTGTTCTATTAAGAATTGATTGGCAGCACCAAATTAGGCATGAAAGACAGATTTTAGTCAAGGAAAGCAATGAAAAGGTATGACAAGCAACTCTTAACTATCAGTATAAAACTTACTATGACGATGACGAGTATCACGTGCTTTCAAATACTTCTGCTCAGCTGTAACAGACTCCAAGGCCTCCCTCAACTCAGCAATTTTAACATTAATAGGGTTCAAATGTTCTGCAATAAATAACATAAAATGGGTAAAACAAAGACATATAAGATAAATAAGCCAACAAAGTACAAGCGGTTCATAGTATACACACGCGCGCGCGCACACACACACACACATATATATGACATATACGCACAAAATGAAATGAAGGCTAATTCACAAACCATCTTTAGCAAGGTCATGCTCATTTGGAATATGACCAACGTGTATGTAGAATGAAACTGTCTCTGGGGTTGAGTAAGGATTGTGAAAACAGAATTTGTACATTCCACTATGAGGAGCCTTAAACTCAAACTTGTCTCCAGATGTTCCCTTCAAAGTGTGCACCGTATTGCCACCGGGGGACGTCACCTATAGAAAACACAAACTTGTGATATGTAAAACTTCTTTCTAGAAAGTTAAGGCCAAATCTCTGATAACCCAATCTATCTTCAAGCTCAAATAGAGAGAAAATAGCTACTAATACATAATAGAAGTCTACTAAAAGAACTCCCCGCCAAACACAACATATGTAGAAAGCGAAATTATTCACGAAGGAAAACTAACATACAGACTTGCACCCGAGGCCATTTCCCACTGTATTGTTTCCAGGTGCAAAGAAATGCATTCAGATCCCAAAGAAACTTTTGCAAAAGCTGGTCCAGTTTTTTGGCCATTAAACGGAATAAAATTGCCTTTAACGTGCCTCTAAAGTGTTCATTTTATTAAGTTCCTTTCCCTGCAAGCCATATGTTCTGAATGCAATTGGATAAAGTTAGAAAATTTCTTAACAAAAAGTTACATGGGTGACAATATAACTATCACTATCTATGTAGGAGTCTTGATAATGGTAGAATTATATTTCAAAATTCAAATAAGTTTCAACTCAAATACGGCTAACTTGACTGAAGTGATAAAATCTGTACATAGGATCTACTCAGCCCAGAACATTTTGTGCGTCCGAATTTTCCCATAAAAAGAGGCTGTGACGAGGGGAATAAGGTAGAACCTAGAAGGCTAATAACAAATTCCCATGAATTCTCACTCGGAAAACAGATACCCTCTATTAAATAAGTTTTTGACAATATTTCGTGGTGTTCTGATTTGAGTGGAAAATTTGAACTGAAATTCAATTTTTCGTGAGAAAACAATGTAACAAAAAGGTTGAATTGTGACAACGGAGCCGACTTCCTATTTGCCCTGTGAGACGAACGAACGAGTATGTGTATGAATTTTCCAACATTTTCTATTATTTAAACGTATTAAATTTCCAACATTAAGTTCCTAATTCTCTTGTGAGAGGAAAAAATATCCAAATTCATTGAATATGTGTGTGAAATTTTTAGAAGTTTCTTTATGTAACAGTTTTTAACATATCACTTTATGCGCATCAAATTTACAACACTAAATTCCTAATTCGTCGTGAACTGAAAAAATCGTCTTCATACAGCATCAATTTTATGAACATCCCAGCATCAAATCTCAGATTAAGGGTTCCATAACAGCTAAATTTCGATCTTAGGTTTAATGCACCTTAAGAAAACTCTCTCAAAATCTAATCAATTGCAAAGTCAAACGAATTTCGACACAAACCCAATCAATTAATCCCAGATCACAAAACAAAACCCTGTTTTTACCCCCAAAACCAAATCTTTCAACCTAAACTGTAGAAAAACACCGAAATTCGAAAGAATTAATGAGAGGGGGCTTACCGTGAGATCGATCCCGGGGTGATCGGAGTTCCAGAAGATATCGTGATCGACCACAACGAAATTCCCGGAGACGGTGTCGCCCTCGTAAAGGACGTACTCGTAGACGCATTCGACGTCGTTCACCGTGACCGAAAGCGACGCGATTCGTCCGACAAAGCTCGTCAAAAGAAGAAGACCCATCAGAAATCTGGCCATGGCGGTGACATTTCTCGACCTTCTCTTCATGTTCTCTCTCTCTCTCTCCTCTTCGAAAAATTTTGGAATTTGTGGGTTTTAAGGTTTTAGAAAGTTGTCGCCTTTGATTTCTGTAAAATAGCTTGAGACGGGAGACAACGGTATCGAGACAGAATGACCGGTAAGAAGCTCGGAAGTTAAGAACCAGCATGTCGTTGGACGGACTGGGCCTGGGCTTGGGCTAGGAGGATATGGATTGTATCTTTGCTGGGCCCAAAATTAAGTGACGTGTTTCGTCGACGTGTCATTGTCTAATTGGTGGTAGGATGCAGTTTTTTTTAGTCGATCCCATAGATGGTCCTAAGGATGGATCTCAATTCCACTTTTCTCCACAGTCGGCTCGACATTATATTCTGTTTTAATTTTGACATTTTTATTAGTTAAATGTTAAATATTTAACAAAATCTGAATAAATTAACTTAAGGATCAAAATTTAGAAGCATTTAAAATTTAGGGTCTCTTATGCTATAATAATTTCTCTCATAAAAAATTTAAATCAGAAAAGTTTTTAGTGATGGGTTCTTTCAAAAAATTTAAATTCAGAATCATAATTATTAACTTAAACATGTGAATCAAACCGACCATTAAAGAATTTATGATTTATTTTATCAAAATTAAAAGAATAAAAACTAAACTGTCATCTATTAAAAAGTTAATGGCATGTTTACCTACGCGTAATCAGAATGTGCATGAATCAAAGTGGACATGATTCAGAGTAGGTAAGATTCAAAATGAGGAATCATAGTCAGAATAAGTTGTTTACTTAGTAATATGATTTGAAATTAGAGTCACTCTAAATCTCATTCATTTATTTATTTACAACTAGAATCGGAATGAAAATATTGTAAAAATACTAATATACCTTTTAAGTTAATTTTATATTTTTTTAATTAAAAAAATAAATTATGTACTTATTATATTAAAATTAATCATAATTAAAATATTTAGTGTAATAATAAGGTAATAAAATAATAAATATAAATTGTACAATTATTTAAATATAAAAATAAATTGTTAAATTTTAAACATAAATAAAAATAAAAAGTAGTGTTAAAAATTAAAATATATTATTTATTTATTAAATAAATAAAGTACATATTTATTATATTAAAGTTAATAATAATTGGTTAATATTATAATATTTGGTAAATAAAATAATAAATATAAGTTGTAATTATTATTTTTTAAATTTATTTTTAATTTTATATTTATAAATAAAGTGAAGATATAATAATAATTTAATGTTAATATTAAGAATGTGAGTCTCAATCTTAAAAAGTATAGAAGTATCAATCTCATTATTCAATCTCAATTTTGAGTGAGACTCACTAAACCTATTCTTATTTTAAAATAAAACAATAAAAAAAATATAAAATTGATTCACATTATCCACTCTAATTTCTCAATCTTAATCTTAATAAGTACACCTGTCATACTCGTTATTAGAAAGCTGAATAAAACTTGTTACCTGTAAATAGCTTTTTCGATTAGAGTATTTTATTCCCCCACAGCATATTTGCATATAGTTGTCTTGTGGCATCTTCAACGAGTCCTGAAACTCAACAAACTAATTAGGACTCTTTTTACCAAAATGGAGGAGAAACCCAGAATCCAAATCCCAAGAGTCAAACTTGGTAGCCAAGGATTGGAGGTGATCTTGTTTTTCTCTTTCACCCATTTGTTCTATTATTAGTTATTTTATTTGAACATCTTTTAATTAATTTAAATTTTAATATTTAGTTTTTATTTATAGCAGCTTGAAGCAAAAGTTCAGATAGATATATGGAAACTAGAAAGAAAAGTTTTTTTTTTTTTTTTTGATGGGGTGTTTTTATAGAATCCAGGTATCTAGACTGGGATTTGGATGTGGAGGACTATCAGGAATATACAATGCTCCTCTCTCTCATGAAGATGGATGTTCAGTTATTAAAGAAGCCTTCAATATGGGGATCACCTTCTTTGATACCTCAGATCTTTATGGACATAATCATGACAATGAAATCATGGTTGGCAAGGTAATCTTTCTTCTTCTTCTTCTTCTTCTTCTTTTTTTTCCCAATTTATCTATCAAATTCAAAGGTGAGGAGAAAAGAACATTTGTTGTTAGAGGTTAAGCTGAGAGTTTCTCAAGAAAGTGACAGAAAATGAAAGAAAGAGACGAGAGCTGAGAGACACCAAATTTTGATTCTGAATTCAAATTTGTGTGAGAATCTATTGACGGAAACTTTTTTTGATTCAAATTTTTTGTGAAGAGCATAATCAAAATCATGGATTTAAATCCTAGAACCAAACCGGCCCCAAGTGTTTGAGGAAAAGTCTCTTCAGTCACTCGAATAATGTGATCTGAGAGTTAATTCATATTATTTACTACTTAGCTGGATGTTAATACAGATTCTGTTGTAACAGACTCAACAAACTCAATACAAAGCTCATTACTAATTACTAATTTCATAACAAATTAGTAACTACAGTTAAGGCTAAATAACTATGGTTTAACATTAGATTATTCAAATGACTATCTATAATATGTCATTACTTTTCTTGAATCTCAAGGCTAAAAACCTTCCTCGGGAGAAAATCCAATTGGCTACAAAATTTGGTGTTACCATGTCAGAAGACTTTCAATTTGGGGTAAAGGGAACTCCTGAACATGTGAGAAAAAGTTGTGAAGCCAGTCTTAAACGCCTTAATGTTGATTATATTGACCTGTATTATCAGCACCGTGTTGATATTTCAGTGCCAATTGAAGATACTGTAAGTTAAAGTGATCTTAATTAGTTATTCCTTTTTTTTTGACATTTTCTAATCTGTTCTTTAAGTTGTACGACATTATATTGATGGTTGCTTTTTGTTTGAAATGAACTTGTTTATGGAAGATGGGGGAGCTTAAAAAGCTGGTAGAGGAAGGAAAGATAAAATACATTGGTTTATCAGAGCCTAGTGTGAACACAATAAGAAGAGCCCATGCTGTTCATCCCATCACTGCCTTAGAGATGGAGTACTCTCTGTTTACTTGAGAAATCGAAAACGAGGTCATTCCGGTTTGTAGGTTTGTTGTGATCACCTTCTCGTGCCTGCATTCTTGACCAAACTGAAAAGAGCGATAATACATCATGAAAAATTTTATCATAGATATTATGAATATCATAAATGGGTATGTATCAAAATTATGTGGGGTTCCGTAAAATCGAAATTAGTGTTTTGTCCCAAGTGTTTTTTTTTTTTTTTTTGTTCCTAATAGGATACATTATAATTTCATGATACATCACCAAATTGTTTTTGAATAATATGTATGATTATTGTTTTTGATTCACTATTGATATGACAAAAGTGTAAAATACGCAAAGTAGATTTTGTTCATAATAAGTGATGAAGTGTGCATTAACAATAACAGGGAACTTGGTATTGGGATAGTGTGTTATAGCCCGCTTGGTCGCGGATTCCTCGGCGGAAAGGCGGTTTTGGAGAGCTTGCCAACTGAGAGTTTGCTGGTAAATAAGAATGCTATATTACTCAAGGGATTATTGATCAATTTCTCTTTACAAAAGTTTTCCTTGAAAACTTGTTTGGCTACTCTGCAGTCAATGCATCCTAGATTCACTGGGGAAAATTTGGAGAAGAACAAACTTCTTTATAGCAAACTTTCCAAACTTGCTGACAAGCATGGTTGCACTACTCCTCAATTAGCTTTGGCATGGCTTCTCCATCAAGGCAATGACATAATTCCAATCCCTGGTATGTTTAACTCTCTCTCTCTTACACTCAATATTTTCAGTATATAGCTAGGATTATTATCAGTGATTAAGTACCACCATTATAGTCAGTTTCTATATTGCCTATGTTGATGCCAAAATCCGGCGCAACACCGCGTGCGGAAGCGCACGATACTTGGACTCTGTTCTCCGCCTCTTTTGGTCAGATCCCTAGCACTGTTCGAATCAGGTCCACACTAGTGTTCAGGATTGATCTCTAACACTATTCTTCTCGAGTCCTAGCACTGTTTGAGAAATGTCCGTACCTTTGTGAGCTAATGAGCTTAGTATTTATAGAGTATTTCCAAATCCGGATAGTGTCTGGATCCGATCCGGACCTAGTGGTGACCCAAGTGTAAAGTTGTACCGGTCATATGACACGTGTCGCACCCCTATAGGTGGGGCCCCCATTAGGATTGCAGAGAGGAGGCCACGTGGCAGTTAGTTGGCTGATTGGGCACTTGTCCTGTTTTGCTAGTTGGTGTTGGATAGTGCTTGGACCACCTGCTCGGTTGGCTCAGATTTAAGTGCTCGGCCTGTTTGGACTAGGTGCTTGGCCTATTCAACTTGTTCAGACTAGGTGCTCGGTCTGTTCAGGATGTTCTTCCCTGTTCAGCTTGTTCAGACCAGGTGCTCGGCCTATTCTGGAGAGGGCCTATTCTTCCGGTCATAAAAATGACCACCCCCAACAGCCTAAAAGCCAACAAAGTGCTAATTGGTAAGTTTGGGATTGATTTTGCTTTTATTGGTTTTTTTGAGTCCTTTTTTGTTTTCGGCTAGAATGGTTTTTGAGTCGGTTACAATCCAGAAGTTCTCTCTTAAAATATATAGTACATCAATCTTTGTGAAATGTGTAATGATTTTTGTGCCAAGTACTTTTATATCATTTTATCAGCACAAATGCTGAGGGGCTCCGCCGAGTGCGGAGCTAGGGCTCGCAATGCCCCTAACCATTTTTTTTAGTGAACACAACCGTCTTTAGAATTTTGTGCAAAATCCAAAAGCACCTCTAAACCCTCAACTTTAGTGAACAATGGTTTGAACCAAGATAAGAAGTTTTCAATATTAACTTTAATGTTATTCTTTACAATGCTTTGTATAGGGACGACTAAAGTGAAGAACCTGGCTAACAACATTGGATCGTTGGCAGTGAAGCTTTCTGAAGAGGACTTGAAAGAAATTTGTGATGCTATGCCCATCCATGAAGTTGGTGGTGATAGGGATTACGAGTCTCTGACCATATATTCATGGAAGTTTGCAGATACCCCATTAAAATAATTTTCAATCTGGAGATCATATAAACAAAAACTGTGTCATGTGTGATGACCTAATGCTAGATCTGTTGCATGTTTCTTGTATCAATTTTCATTCTCTTCAAGAATTGAAAACTTGTGATGATCCTTTTCTCTGTCGTGTTTCATTATACTTTCTCAAATGTTAAAGGAAGCTGCATATATATATATATATATATATATATATAAAAGATTGAATTCTTAACGTGCGACATCATTAATTTATTTTATTAATACATGCCCTTATTAAACCAGTAACCAATTCATTAGACATGTAACCATTAAAAACAAGTCTATATATATACATAATAGCTTGATTTTATTACTTACCAATTTTGACTATTTTTGTTGGCTCTTGGTGTTTTTAGCGTGTTTTTATTGTGTTTTATCTAGCTTTTATAGGTTTGAGTTTAAATGAATAAAAAGGTCTTCAAAAGGGTGGAAATGGGAGCTAAATCAAACCATGAAACCGCTGCAGCGCAAATTCCATTCCGCTGTAGCGCGGACAGCGGAAAACTAGCCCCAGGTCCCTGCAGCGCCATTCTGGAAATTGAAGACCTGCTGCAACGGATTTGCCTGTTAAGGTTTTCTCAAAAATCTTAACGGCTCTGCAGCGGGAAAGTGATTCGCTGCAGCGCTCCATGCGTTATGCAGTCATTTAAGGCTTCATTTGCACTGATTTCAAGGAGAGTATAAATAGAAATGAGCTAAAAATCACAGAGGAGACTCTTGGAAACGCAAAAATAGAACCAAAAGAGGAAAATACGAGGTTTTGGAGAGCATGCTTGGAGATTGGACGGGAGCTTGAAAATTAGGAGCTTGTTCTTTAACGAGTTTTATTTCCTTCTTCTCCTTTCTCTTTTATCTTCTAGAATTTGTATTTTCCTTCATTATGTGTAGACCATGGATATGAAATTTGGATTGTTTATGGTTTATGCTATGGGATTCTTGATGTATACTTCTAACTAAACTTTTTAGAGCTTTTGATGTAGCTTTACTGTTGCTATGCTATGAAGATTTTATATGCTCGTTAATGAATTCTCACTTCAATCCATTTGTGTTTCTCTATGCTTATTGTCTAATTTGATTATCTATTGAATAAGATATATAGATGCGTGGATTTAGGCTCAGGAGAGTTACTTTCACATGATGGATTTGGGAAAGCACAACCTAGAGTTAGTTGAGTTTGGGATGCTAATTAATTCAGGTAATTAATATTAAGTTGCTTAATGGATGTGTTGATTTGCTCAGGCTAATAGGGATATTGTTTAATTGGGTCTTGCTAATGAATTGAGTGAAATTAGTTAACAAGTTTAAGAATCGGATTAGCATAACTCGGTAGGATGAAATCGGACCTTTAGCCGCCTTAATACCATCATAGTTTCCTTCGATCCCTTTTTATTTCTAAATTTCTTCTTCACTTTCTTTGTTAGTTTAATTCTATTGTTTTAATTGCTCTATTCACTCGAATTTAATTGCTTAAATAAAGTTATAGTTATTGTAATTGCAGTACTTAATTTAACTTGTAAAAACTCAATCTATGATAACTGTACTTAGATATACTTTATTACTTTTACGATTCGTTCACTTGCGAGCACACACATACTTCAATTGAAATCCAAAAGAATTTCGCAACATTACACACACGTACAAATCTCACCTTTAGTAATCGGCAATTGAATATCAACAAGAAACTAAAACTTATCATGAAGTTTGCTAAACCCAATTGAAAATAAACTGGAGGTAGATCCTAATCAGTACTTGCGTAGCGTTCTTACTCATTATTTTTAGGTTGTCGACTAATTTGTTGAAAGGATATTTTTCTTAGTTAACTAAAATTAGTTGCAAAAATCGTTATGACATGTAGAAAAAGATCGGCAACTGTTTCCCTAGAAAAACTGAACATCAAACAAACAACTGATCGAAAAGAAATAATAATTTCCAACTATAGTGATCACTCAAGTAAAGGGAAGTTAAATTAGTTTTCAACCACCCAAAAAATACAACATAAATTTAGCCGTTGAGGGAAAAAGAAAAAAGAAAAGAAAAAAGAATCAACCAATATGATCATTCAATGTTATTTGAACTGTAGATACATACCCAAAAGAGTGGGAGGTACTGTATTCTTACTCTGTCCATCGCTTTTATTTTTCAATCATTTGCTAATTTCCTATGGCAGTAGTTGTATGGATAAGAGTGGAAAAATCGTATTCATGAATCACATACATATCTGTTGATGCAATATTAGAATAGAAGCTGGTAGACGTCTCTCCTTTTGTTTTGTTATTTTTATTTTTATTTTTTGGTCATCTTCTTTTTACAGTGGACAATAGAAACTTTCAATTGAACTATTTGGCGTTGAGAAAATGGAGGTGCAGAAGCCCCAAATCCAAGTTCCAAGAGTTAAGCTGGGCAGTCAGGGATTGGAGGTAGGCTTGTTCTGTTTCTGCCAACTTTTTATTCTTCGTTATCTTTTATAAAATTTAGATGGGCAATCTCAATTTTTGCTAAAAGAAGTGGCAGAACAGATTACAGAGAATCTTGATTTAAACCCAGATGACATTACTTCTGAGGTTTCATGTTACAGGAATATCCATTTCAGAAAACTGCAACACTGCAAGATATATCAAATATGCATGGATAAAAGATTAGCTATTTTTACTCAAAGTTTTGGCGTCAAACTTTGGATCTCCCTAATTATGATGCTATTGGCTTTTCATCAATTCCTTCCTCTAGTTGAGGATCTTGCTTTGTTGGAATAATAAAAGCCCATATCTATTTAGGTACTTAATTTTTTATGAAGAAAAACTCACACACACCTAAAAAATGTGAGAAAATGTTTCCAAAATGCTACCAAATCGTCCCTGCAAAGTTGAACTGGGAAAAGGTATTCGACTCGAATTTATTTTATCTTTTACACAAGCCTACAAGATGATGCTCTCTTTGGAGTCTCTAATATTGTGTTACATGAATCGGGCCTGCACTTCCTACGGGCTTGGACTTCTATCTTTTGAAAATTGAATCGCTTAAGAAGTTGCACAATGTCCTTATAAGTTTATAATTATTCTTACTTTTAAATGATGTGAAGTTCAGGCTATTGAACTCATTATGCTAAATTCCTGATTCGTTTTTGCTTGATTCCACTTTCTTGGTCTTTGTTTCTAAATTTTGTGTATATTAGCATTAGAGCACTTAGACCAAAATCATTGGTCCCACAAAATGAATACGCCCAACTATAACAACTGGTTTTTTCTTTATTTACTAAACAATTATTTTGTTTTCATGTGTCATTGGCTCATGCATAATATATATATATATATATATATATATATATATATGTTTTGTTTCCTGAAAACTGATGTAATAACTTCAGGATATACCATTCATCTCAAATCTTAGCCACTAAATGATGAGAACAAACGATCTCGTCCATTTTAACATTCATGCTAAGGAGAATATTATGGTTTCCTCACACAATTCTTCATTCCCGTTTAATACGCAGGATAGGACAACATTGGATAGGAGTAATGGATTGGAATGTATAAGAAAGAATATGATTAAATTTTAGTTTAATCCAATCCCATGTTTGGTGTTATGTTATTAGGATAAGGGTGTTTTTGTAAAAAAATTTAAAATTTGAGATCAAATTGTAATTTTTCAAAACTTAAGGGGCAAAAACTTAGTCGTATCCAATTCTCCTTAATCCTGCACACCGAACAGTCCCTATGAAGAAGATAACTGATTTTCTTCCCATGGCTACCGTGCAGGTTTCTGTGCTGGGTTATGGGTGTGCAGGACTCTCCGGAATGCTAAACGCTCCTTTGCCTCATGAAGCTGGATGTCATATTATAAAGGAAGCTTATAATAGGGGTATAACCTTCTTTGATACAGCTGATGTATATGGGGGAAATGACAATGAGATCATGATTGGCAAGGTACTATAGTAGTAGCTTTCCGTATGCATAATTATGCTCGTGTGATTAAGCAGAAAGAATGCATTTCAACAACGTATTTACCAAAGATCATTGTATCCAGAGTACAAATTTTAATGCATAAAAATATGGCACCCTATAATATTGAGAAATGGAGGCACTCTTCTTGACATTTCAGGCTTTAAAGCAGCTTCCACGAAACAAAGTCCAGTTAGCCACAAAGTTTGGTGCTATTATCTCCGGGGATTTTCAATTTGATGTGAAGGGCACGCCTGAATATGTGAGGGAATGCTGCGAAGCTAGTCTTAAGCGCCTAGATATCGAGTACATCGATTTGTACTACCAACATCGTGTGGATACTTCGGTGCCTATAGAGGATACTGTAAGGACCTAGTGAAAATTTTTGGACCTTTCGAATGTACAGCATATGAATTTTTATCTCTCTGCTTATGTTTTCTTCAAAAATCTTTTGGTTTTGGTAGATGGGGGAGCTCAAGAAGCTGGTTGAGGAAGGAAAAATCAAATACATTGGGCTATCGGAAGCTAGTGTGGACACAATAAGAAGAGCTCACAGAGTTCATCCCATCACTGCCCTGCAAATGGAATACTCTTTATGGAGTCGAGAAATCGAAGATGAAATCATTCCACTTTGCCGGTTTGTTGATAAAAGTTTAGCTGTGATTTGTGCCTAATTCGAATCAGGACTTCTACTCACAAAGCTTTTGGAACTTCTTTTGCCTCCATTCACAGGGAGCTTGGCATTGGAATAGTAGCATATAGCCCCCTCGGCCACGGATTCTTTGGTGGGAAAGCAATTGTTGAAAGTTTGCCGAGTGAGAGTTTTTTGGTATGTGAACTCCTATTAAAGGTTTACCTTTGCAAGTTGTAGAGTTTAATAATTATAACAAAAAGAAGATATAGCATTATGCATTGGAACACAATAGTATTAAATATCAAATGTACTGTTTTCATACCTTTTATTCTTAAATATAGTATTGCCATTTCCATAAGAGAGTCTTATAATAGAGCTCACAATTTCTGTTTCTGACTTGTTTCATCTAGGACATGAGAAAATGCAAGTTATTGCCTACTGGAATATTCTAAATTGTGTACAAGTTAATGTCTTTGGTGTAGAGTGGGCATCCAAGGTTCACAGAACAAAATCTAGAGAAGAACAAAGTCATATATGCGCGGTTCGCTAACCTGGCTGCAAAGCATGGCTGCACTCCTCCTCAACTAGCTCTTTCGTGGCTTCTCCATCATGATATAGTCCCTATTCCTGGTATATAAATTCAACGCATTTGTTATTCTCTCTTTTGCTTACTGCACTCATAGTTCATGTTTGCATGATTTGTATATCTACATACCAGTAGTATGGTTTAGGGTTTATGTACAGCAATCCTAAAAGTCCAGACGGGGATATATCCCCGTCAGACCCAAGAAGTGGGCCCCACCGAGTCCGAGTGCGTGTGGGACCCACTCCTCGTGTCTGATGTGGATACCGCAGAAAAGGATTTCGTTTATGTGACTTTGTCACTGTGTGATGTTTACAGGGACAACTAAAGTTGAAAATATAGATGTCAATGTTGGATCAGTGGCAGTGAAGCTTACAAAAGAAGGTGTGAAAGAAATCAGCGATGCTGTGGCCGCACATGAAGTGGCTGGGGAAAGAGAGCACTCCTCTACGTCTAAATATGCCTGGAACTTTGCTAATACTCCACCAAAATAGTTGCCAACTGAAGAAATAAATAGCCTACACAAATGAATGAAGAATGAACAAATAAATTAAAAATACTTGTTTCTCAAAAGTCCTGTTGATGCATTATAGCAATCGAATTGGCAAGGAATTGAACAGAAAGCGCTTGATCATATTCTACTAGTTGAAACCACGTGCGGAAATCCCGTGTGAATATTCTAAGGGATTGTTCTTTTAGAGTTTAATTTGAGTATAATTCTTGAGTTGAATTTGAGTTAAACTTGTAACTTGAGTTTGTGTTTGGTTGTGTACATTTAAGTTATGGTTTGAGATAAGAATCTTTTTGAGTTTGTACTTGAGTGAGTTAAAATTTGAATTTATATTTAGATAGTATTTTAATAAAAATTCAATGCTGATGAAAAATTTTAATAGGGTATATGGGTCGGGTTTTATTCGTCTTTTCGTTGTCAACGCATAGAAAAAAAATCATCTTAATCAAAATTAAAACGAAAAAGTTATAACATTTTTAAGAATAAAAAAAATATTATTTATTAATTTGAGTTCGAGTTTTTAAACTCAAGTTCAAGGAAAAATTTGAACTTAAATTTTAGTCATAAATTTAAATTTGAACTCAAGTTTAAACTTAAATTTAAACTTAAAAGAACATAAACTCAAATAAAATTATAATTCAAAATTTTTTTTTGTTTTTGAGTTTTTCATTTAAAAGAAGAAGTCTTAAATAAGTGTATTAAATAAGTGTATTTCGTTTCAAAAGTTATGCTCGTCACATCACAGTGCATCGGGGCGGCCGAAGTCTTGAGCGTCAAGCGCGAGCAGCATGCATCAAGTGTGTTTGGTTGAAAGTAATGAAACGGAAAGGAAAGGCCATTCCACCCAATTCCATCAATTGGTTTTATTTTTTTGGTCAGAAAGGACTTTCCTACGGAAAGCTCATTCACTCAATTTGAGTGAATCGCCATTCACTCGAGAGGCAGTGGAAAGGCGTTTCCATTCAGCCTCATTAATTTTTTCTCCAAAATCTCCCCGATTGAGAGAGAGGAAGCCCTAGCCCCCATTACTTGCTCGACCAAACAGCATCAAGCTCCACAGGCCGCTACTCTCCTTCTCGCGACCTTTTTCTTCTTTTCTCCAAATCTCTGTGTCTCCTTTTCCTTTGAATCTCCTCCGCGGATTCGGATTTCCGACCGCGAGGACTTCTCTGATCTCGAACTTTTGCAATTCTTCCGCCTCCAAAGTATCGACAAGTCTGGCAATCGGACTATTCGAATCGTCGGAAAATACTTTCCCGGTAAACAAACACTCTTGGCTAAAAGCTTTTTGTTCTGTCCTTGATTTTGACTACGGGGTTTGGGTTGTTTATGCTTTTATGTCCGTTTTGCATATTTGAGTTTAATTTGAGTAATTGATGAGAAATTTATGGTATTTTCTAATTGGTTTCGGTTGGTGTATGGATTCTTATGGAAGATGGATTGTTTTGTCTGAAAAAAAGATGAGTTTTTTTTTTGAGGGATTTAGTTTCAGTAATTATTTATTTGTGAATTTTTTTGGGTTTAAATTGTTTTTGGATTGGGGCTTTATCAATCATTTTTGCCTTGAAATTGCAATTAACTTTCAGAGAGAAAAAGTTAATCCTTACAATTGTTATTATTAATATTTTTTATCCTCTATTTTCCTAGTTTTATTTCCTAATAGCCATTGTTGAGTTTGTAATTCAAGTTAATAGAGAGCAGTGCAAGAGAAAATTGGCCCAACGAAGGCATAAACTTGGAGTTACAGAACAGTGAGGAATTTTGCTTCTATATGGTAGGAAAAATGATGTGATTGGATGATATGAAAAATGTGTAGAAGGCGTTAGTCAAAGTAGTAATATTCTTGTAACATTTGTTTCACATGGCACCACTTTTGAACCCTTCTGAGATTCATGCCACTTCTGTGTTGTTTGTAGTTCCAGTTGTGACCGCGGAGCGTCTCAAGAGGTATATTCTCATAAATTATGCAGCGAGTTGCCAGAGTTGCCAGAAGGGCCATTCTCAATTGTTTATATGCATAGTACTGTATAGAAAGAGGATAATTCTCCTAGGATAACTATCCTGAGGTGGATTTGTGAATACCTTCTTTTTAATATTTAGGAGTAATTGTTTAGTTTCATTGAAAAAACATAACTGGATTACCTTTTGATATTGTAATGTATGTGCTATGCGTTTCTCTTTTGATATTGTAACTAATTAGGATTATGCTTCACTTTGTAAAATTGTATTAACTAAAAACTTGCTCAACTTAGAAGATGATGGATGCTATATATAGATGAATCTATTAGTTTTGGTGTATGACTATATTTTGGGATTATATATGTAGTTGAATGATATATTGGTTCATTTTTATTATTGACAGGGGGCAAAGTGATCATTTTACTCGATACATATCATGATAGACGTCAAAATTGATCATATTTGAGCATATGATAATTTATTATTACATAAAAATATCAACTAGTATTTTTTTTTTACCATTGAAATATAGTTTTTAAAGTTTATCCTTCAAATAAAATTTTTTTCAATAATTAAATTACTTTTTTACTATTTTAATCAATTACATATTGATTTTTTTATGATTATTAATCAAGAGTATTTTTGTCAAAATACAGTTTACTTCCATTTCATTGTCAACCCAACATCATACTCATGATTCATGTATTAATTCCATAACTTCAATCAAACTAAATAATCAGTTTATGATTTTAATACATTTTAATTCTATTATATTACTATTTTTATTACTATTTTTATTACCATTTTGCCACTGTAATTAAATGTATCATAAATGTTCGATCCGCCGGCAATATTATGACCGCGATTGTCACCGGGTAGGACTCATAAGAATTCTTTGTTACGGGGGATTTTTGCATTTTAAGGCACAAACAGAGCTCTTAGAGACGTGCTGCCTCAGTGTCACACAAAGATCAAACATTTGATACATTTCAATACACTATCAAAAACATGTTGCAGGACTATTGATTAAGAATTACATGAAATGTCAAGTGTGTTACACAATTATACGGAATTGTTTTTTTAATTAAAGTATAATTAATATTTACGCCATTTGACTCCCTGACACAACAGGCTATAATCTTTCCCTTTGCTAACACGTGACATTGCCAACACGTCACAACCTAAGGCTCACTATTTTAATAGATTTTGCAATCTCATAATAGGTGCCCTTTTATATATATATATATATTATAGGGAAATGATAAGAAATAAGTCAATATGAAAAGGTTAAAAAAGTATATAGGTTATTTTTTATAAAAATTAATAGGTCATAACTTGTTAAGTTATGATTTATAACCAGATAAGTTATGGACAAACTTGTTAAGTTATAGTTCATAACCAGATAAGTTATGGATAATAACTTGTCAAGTTATGGTTCATAACCAGACAATTTATGGACGAAAATAGTAATTTGGCCTATTTATTAACTTATGTAAACTATTAGCCTATTAATTTTAATTCATCTCAAATCTTGGCCTATTTTTCTCTTTCTCCTTATATATTATATATTATGTTAACGTAGTTTAAGATGTGATAAGGAAAATAATAATACTAACATTTATATATATAGACACACACTTATATTATTAGGATATTTATGACTATTTATTTTATCGATTCGAATTTAAAATTTAAATTTTACTATAATGAAAAGCTCTCAGAAATAGTCATATCTAATGCTATGTTTGGTAAGAAGGAAAGAAAATGGGAGGGAAAGGAAAATTAAAATGCATAGAAAATTAGAAGGAGAGAAAAGATTTTGATTTTCCCTTGACTTGTTTGGTATGATAGGGAAGAAATAAAATGAATCTACCTTCCATTATTTGGTATTGGAAGTGAAACTAAAGGGATGGAAAAATTATTATTGGTGTAATTACTTTTTTACCTAAATATTTTTTATTAATATTCTTTTCTAATAAAAGTATAAATAATACAGTATTCAACATCAAATTAACTCGAAAAATTCATGTAACTTGAACATATATTCCATCTATATTATGTATATATATACACACACATACATATATAAAGGTACAAAAACATAGTTTAACTTATATAGCATTAATGCACTGTAGCTATGAATGCACTGTGAATGAGATAAAGGTTTGTTGATCATCGATGTTTAATTTAATGTACTGAAATCTTTTATATGGATATCTTTAATCCTAGCTATATACACATATCAAAGTGGAGAGAGAAAGCCCATTGCCCATTTATCTCTTCTTTCTTGGAAAAAAAAAAAACAACGCCAACTTTTGGAGTCAAAATGAGGACAATTTAGTCATTTAGGTAGTTATTCACATTTTTCTTCCTAAAATCCTCTCACTTTTGGAGGGATTAAATATGGTGAGACCCACCAATTACAATTTCCTTTTAATTTTCTTTTCCTTCCTAATTTCCTTTCTACCAAACAAGTTAATTTATCAATTTTCATCTTAAAATCCCTCCAACATTTTCTTTCCTTCCACTTTTCATTCATACCAAACATAGTGTAACTTTTTTACTACAAAAAAAAATTGTCACATAAAGTCACATCTCAATTCGAATTAAAAACTCGAATCATCGAACTAAACAAGCCCTATATTATTAGGATATCCTGAAAAAGAATTTATCATGGCCTTATTCTAGAGCTAGCAATATGTTACCATCACTTTTTCACTTTGATTTCAATCATAGCTAATCTCTCAAAAGAATAGAAATAATTTTTAATTGTAGCTTTTAAAAGAATAGAAATAATAGGATCGTTAAAAGGTAAAAATTTAAACCGTCAGATTCAATTTAGCGCCTAAATAAAAATTTTAGACCGGTCTGATCTGGTCCAAAATCTCAAGGTTTAAGACTAGTCTGTTGGATCCTTAATCCAACATTGGGCTTATATGTAAATAATTATGTGTTGCGGGCTATCATATAAGGTTAAGCCTAATTAAAAGTGATCTACTAAGGTTTAGGTATTTTGGGCTTTAATGTATCTAATAGGGTGTGAGTCTTTAATGTGTAGAGACTTAAGGGTAATTTCTATTTTTATGATGGGCTAAAATAGAAATACCAAAAGATAATAGGGAAGTTATCAATAAATGACAGTTATGGTCCCCAGATCACACGTATTATTTCATTCATTCTGACATCTCATCATCAGAAAGAGTACATAGAGAAAGTTAAAGGGTCCTCTAGGAAAACATGTTGATCTGGAA